GGAGGTGTCACTGTTGTCTGTGATGAAGGTGTCTGCTGTTGTCTGTGACGGAGGTGTCTGGTGTTGTCTGTGATGGAGGTGTCTGCTGTTGTCTGTGATGCTGAAGACATTACATTTTAAGCCTCTAGGTTTTAGAAAATTTTAATTTTCAGGGCTGAGGAGATAGCTCGATGGGGAATCATCTTTGCTGTACAAGCATGAGGACTTGAGTTTGATCCCCAACATCTACAGTTAAACATCAGATTTGTAATTCTTCTGGTTGTGTAAGTGTGGTGTAGTGCGCATACGTGCTTGTGCGCTCACATTGTGTTTTTTCAGAGCTGGTGCTGCATGTCTTCCTCATTACTCTCCACCTGACGCTTTGACACAAGATTTGTCATCGAACCTGGTGCTCACGAATTGGTTAGACTCTGGCCAATAAGCTCCACTGATCTTCACCTCTTCCTCTTCCTGGTAATTGAGGTTACAGACACACAGCACCATGTCTGGCTCTTTCGTGGATGTTCTTAGTTCCTTATGCTTTCATGGCAAGCACTTTACAGTCTGATCTATCTCCCCAGCTGCCTCAAAATATCTTTATTTTAAAGAGATTTTAATTCTCACTATGCCTAATGGCATAATTTAATAAATAATAGAATGGAGAATTCCAGGATATTGAGTGTTGCTGTTTTCAATGATTAAGAATGTCCTGGCATGCTAGCCTTCATGTGCAAATAACTTAGGCATCTCTGAAATCCACATTAACATTCTTAGCTTGGGCCACCTGACTTAAACAAGGAAGTAGTTTGGGCATTAGGATAATAGGTCACTAAGTCAGTCATTTAGTCTCTGTTTTGTTTATAAGGTTCAGGTTGGACTAACAGTTGAAGTAAAACTCACGGAAACTTATTACCTACTCATTCTATAACTCAAGAAATGTAGACACCTGTCACCTAGAGTTAGTTCTGAGTTCCATTGCTGTTTTAGTTAGGGTTTCTACTACTTTGAAGAGACACCATGACCACAACAACTCTTTTAAAGGAACACGTTTCATTGGAACTGGCTTACAGTTCAGAGGTTTAGTCCATTATCATCAGGGCAGGAAGCCTGGTGGCACGCAGGCAGACGTGGTGCTGATGAGGGAGCTGAGAGTTCTGCCTCTGATGGTCAGGCAGCAGGAACAGAGGTGACACCGGGCCTGGCTTGAGCATCTGAAACTCAAAGTCACCGCCAGTGACACACTTCTAGTGCCACTGCCTGGGTCGATGGGAACATTTTCATTCAAATCGCCACAGTCACCATCATCATCCCTGCCCATGCTCTTCTCCTGGTCACCAGAACCCACATTTTTATCTGTGCACAAGTACACAGTGAGGAGATGCAGAGGAAGGAGGAGCTTATAAAGAGCGTCAGCAATCTCAGCTAAAACAATCCAGAATATAAGGAAGACAAGCTAGATAGTCCACCTTAGTTTCCTCTGCTATGTTTGTCTTTAGCCCTTGCATTTTATACTGAGGCCATGCTTTGAGATGATATTGATCATGGGAAGATAAAGAAGTGAAGTAAGTGGAACGAACGAAGGTTTGCAATCTGAAGGAGTCTCCTGGAGTTGCAGTTTCAGTCCTAGAAACACCCTAGGCAAAGTAAGGGCATCAGAGATTCAGGATCAAGTCCGCTGTGGCAATTACCTTCCCCCAAATAAAGACCAACATGGATTCTTACTGCTGCCCTCTTTGTCTCATTACCCTTGGCCCAGGCTGTCTCCTTCCCAAAGGCCACCTGTCATGGTCACCGCGTCTGCTTTGTCATCCTTAGTCCTTGTCATTCTCAGTGTCTGAAAGCTCATCCCACATGTATTTGAGAGGATTGGGATCAACCATTCCTGTCCCTCACCACTGCCATCTACTCAGCTGCCGACTTCTGCTCCCCATTCACAAACTTTAGGACCAAATGTAACGAATGTACTCTTCACTCCATCCTGGGAAATTCTACCACCCGAGCAGTCAGAGGACTTACCAAACTGCATACCGGAGTCACTCAGATAACTGTGGGGCCTGGAGTTTCTCTACCTTTGTGGTCTAATATTTGAGCACCATAGCTTCTGAAGAAAGACTCTGGCCCTCTTGTGTTTCTTCCTAATTCACATATATTAGAGCTGCTCTTGTAGGAGTCAGCCATGATAAGCTAAACAAAAACAGACCACACAAAGGAAGTTCTTTATTTACAACCATTATCACCTGCTAGTGTAGGACTCAGCCATCAATGAGTCTAATGGAGGCCTGAGTCCCCGTGGTTTACCCTGAAGCAATACCTGGTTGCAGGGAGGGCCACAAGCTGAGCTCACCCAGACACCACCCAGGAACAGACCTCCCAAAGGAAATTCCTAACGTTCCAACTGCGGTGGATAGGACCACCTGCCAGCACACACTCACCAGGACACACCTAGACAAATGTCAGCCAATCAGGGGTCCTGAACCTCAGAAACCCCTCACCCCCACCTTTACTACTATAAAAACCGAATTCTGAGTTCTGGGCTCTCCGATTATTCCAATACGTTGGACACACAGAGAGACCGAGTTTGCAAACTTGTATAAATTAAAGGCTCTTTGCTTTTACATATGGAACTCGGTTTCCTTGTTTTTGGGAGACTAAGCGGACCTTCCACCTGAGACTCAGGGTAACACCGTCTGTGTTGTCTTTCTGTCTTCTAGCCCTGTGGTTGTTTACAGCAGCTCATCCCTGGGTTATTTTCGCGGCTCCCTCTCCTGTTAGCCCTCTCATCCATGCCGATTTTAAGGAGTCTTTGTCCACTCAGCTTGTGTCTATTTTAGCTAATAGTTTCAGTTTTGTTTTGTTTTGTTTTGTTTTTTAAATTCTTCCTTCAACTGTGATGCTTTGGTTCAGGGTCTCAGTACCTCATTTTGAATTTTTATTCCTTTGTCTCCTAACCGTTCTCTTACTTTCATCTTTGCTCCTTCAGTCTCATCTTCTTTCATACAAATAGGCACATTAGTGATGTTAAATCAGCAGTATCATGACATCTCAGAACCCATTGTAGCCAGGTACACATCTGTAATCCTAGCACCCAGGAAACCAGGACAGGAGAATTCGAAGCTGGAGACTAGCTTGGGGTAAGTAATGAGATTCTGTCTGAGAATAATCAAACTGTGTGTGTGTCCCAAGTTCACCGCTAACAAACTGAATAAAGCCTATATTCCCAAGAGAAGCTACTGCCATTTCATTCCTTAGCTCCTACACCATTTCACATGCACAGTTTTGGCTCAAAAACACTAAATAATTTGATTTTTGTACCTCTGTGATAGTTTGACTTTTCTTTATACACACCATCTCTTTTGCCTAGAATGTTCTTTCCTTTTTCTTTTCTATATTGTTACCCCCCCCAACTTTACAAAATGATACATAAATAACACTAGCTAACATCCCCTTTGATATTTAACTACTTAATTCAGGCTTGAAAACAAAAAACAAAATCCTTTCTTGGTCTTTTTCTCCTTCCTATAAAGTAGTGTTTAGTTCTTGTGTAGGCTTTGAAGGACTTCCTGTCTGGTGACGTATCTAACAGAAGACACAGTGTTAATATCTGACTGACCAATAAAGCAGCGGCTCGGTCATTTCCAAGCCTGGAATGAGGTCAGATGCTGACCTCATTGTCCTTCTCTCTCAGAGCCCTGGCTCGCAGGTTTGTAAGACCCCCAGAACCCATTTCTCTGCTCACAGAGCTTTGCTGTCAGCATCAGAAGCTGTTAGAGAAAAGAAAGACTACCTTTTGACTACAATTAAAAAGCAACTGTAACAAAGCCCAGGGGCTTCACTGTGTAATCAGAACAAGTCCAAGGTTGAAAAGCAAAAGAACAAAGGGCTGCCAAGGGGAAGGCAAATATCTAACGTGTTGCAATCTTTGAAATTCCAGCTCCCGGGTGGTGCAAGTATCATTTGTTCAGCAGCAAATCGGTGGGAAGGGGGAATGGGACTGTCAATACCGCCTGGAAAATGTGTTTTCTTCGGGTGTGGAAAGCGATAAAGACCCTCCACTGCCTGCAACCCCAAATGAACACCTGAAAAAGGTTAGGGAGCAGAGTCCTGCATGTTCTGTTTTTGCATGGTCTAACCCTTAGTTGAGGGACTATTTCATGATATTCTTTAAAGCAATCACCAAGCCGAGCTAAAGGCCACCACGTAAGTCTCCAGAAATCAGTTGACCAAGTGAGAGTCTCAAGGACACTCATGTTCCATTCCTCTCTACCACTAAACAAAATACCAACAGGATTCCTGAACACCGGGCCAGAAATTACAGAAGGCTATTTGCTTAATTAATTAATGCTGAACTTTTAACTCTCTGCTTAGGCAAACACATGGGTGCCAGGGGCAAATGCTTTCATTCACGGAATCTGAATTCTCAGAGCAAATGTCACCAGGTACAGACTTCTGTTTCCTTTGTGTTGTTTTAAAATGGCTTTGTTTGCTTTTGTTGTTTTGTTTTTTTGTTTTTCAAGATAGGGTTTCACTGTGTAACAAAATTTTTGTTCGTTTTTTTTTTTTTTTAAGGTGAAATCAGAAGAAAATATCACAATGTGTAAAGGATGTTATAAAGACACCAAAAATGGCTTCCTGGCTAGTAAGAGCTAATTAATGCCATCTCAAGGAGGCTGGGTGGCTTTGGAAACAGCCTAAAGACTGATCTGATGAATATACTGTTCCCTTTTGCAAGCTGCAGCATAATAAAGATAAAAAATGTGTTACACTGCAAAGAGAGAAACCCTGTGGATACAAATGCTAACTATAAACCACACGCAGGAAACTGGCCGTTATTGAGACATGAAGGATCGGCAGGTTCTTTCTCAGCCTATGAGCTGTATCGTTGAGCATGAACACTCTCAGTAAGAGTCATACTTATATCTATCAGTCCTAACTGGTTCTCTTCTACTGCATTATAATGGTTTGGATGTGAAATGTTCCTTCATGGACTCTCGTGTTTAAAACACTTAGTTTCCAGTAGGTGATGCTGTATTGGGGCCTGTGGACCCTTTACGGGGTGGAGCCTCACTGGAGAAGTGGCTCACTGGGTAGGGGAGTAGTCTTTCTGGATGCTGGTACAGGCCCTGCTTAGCTCTCTGCCTCCTGAACATAGCTGGGCTGTCACCTGCTGTCTCTTACTCCGTCAAGAGCTGTTCTTACTGTTGTGCCTTTCCCACAATGATTGATTGTATTTCCTTAAAATGTGAGCCAAAGCAAATCTTTCCTTCTTAATGTGTTTCTGTCCCATTTCATATCTTAGCAATAAGAAAAGTAACTAATACAAACATCCCAAGTCACAATGTAACTCCAGTTCCTGCTCTTTTGTTAAACTGATTAGAAGCCTGCAGAACTTTGGTCCTTCCTTGCATGAGACATGGCTGCGGCTCTCTGAGCCCTATGCTCTCCTGTTTACACTGCCAGAATGCACTTCCCTATTGCCAAGTACTGCAATGCTGCACTCACCTCAGCTAGGGAGCTCCCTCTTCCCCCAAGAGAGTCTCTGTGTGATGACAGCCTTCACAGAGTCAGTCAGCCACTTTCCAGCATCCGGACTGGTATTCTTTTCCCACTAGAGTACAAAAGAACTTTTCACCATTTCGCTTCTGGAAGAAACAAGTAAATCATTAGCTACCATACACCTGTGATTTTGGAAATGGGATCTTGTAAGCAGCTTTTTGAGAGATGTCTCACAGTTGAAAGATTGAACAATATGATAACAGCTTGGGACAAAATAAAAGCCAAGAGAAGTCAAGGCTGGGACTGCTTGTACAGGACCAACAGAAAATGAAGTCAGTCACAAGTATCTCGGCCATGATGGGGCCAGTGGTTATGAGGTCTCCCTCTTAGCTGAGAAGCTGTTGACAACTGACAGCTCTCAGAGGACAGAGAGTACATTTTCTTCAGGGGTGTGCCCTGGTCCCACACCCATGCGCACACAGGCACAGAGAGCGAACTCTGGAGATTTTTAAAAGAGAGCACTTTTTGATAGTCCATTTTAAAATTCATTAATTTTTTCCACATAATATATTTTGAGCCTATCATTTCTCCTTTTCTATATTGGTTTTAGATTCTTGAGTGAGTGGTGACTGAGAAATGAGTCCTCTACCGGGAGAGAGAATCCACGTTTCGTGGAGTTAACAGGAAGTGTTAGTGCTGGCGCCAGGTAGAGAACTCTTGGAGTTAGATTAGGTATGTCCCCAGAAGTGATCATTTGAGTCATATATGATGGGGAAAATTAATTTGCAGTAGTAAGCCAAAATTAATTAGCTAGCTATTTTATTTATTTGTTTGTTTGCTTAGTTCTTGCCAGGCTAAATTACTTATCCATTTAGACAGAAGAAGGAGTGAGGCTTCCTGGAGACTTTTTCAGACCATTACAGACAGGAGCTCACTTCCTTTAGCGAGACTTCACTTCCTGAAGTCTTCACGGCCTTCCAGACAGCAACCCCTGCTGGGGATCGAGTGTTTCAAAGACAGGAGCCTTATGAGACACAATCCACACTCAAACCATGTCAGTATATCTGTACACTGGAAAGACACCCGAGGATTCCCTCGGTTGTAAAGCTATGGATATGGTCGTGGTTCTATAGCAGGTGATCAGTTTGTTTTGCTGCACAAGCTCATAGATTAAAAATAACCCACTAATCCATTTCTAATCGAGTTTCCTTATTTATACAATGAAAGACTTGTAAGGAAATGATCCAAAAGTCCCAAATTCTACAGTTCCCCAAAGCTTGAAAAATAGAAAATCATACAAATAATTTCCTAAATTTCAACAGTCTGTTTATGCTTATAATAAACTGGGGGGATCTCAAAGTGCCAACAGCCAAGTTCTCCTAGTCTGTAACAAGATTTTTTTCAAGAGTCAGTCTGTTTCTTTTTCAGGCACCTCGCAGCTTAACATTTTAGTGTGGAACGAGTAAGACTTGAAATTCTGGTGGTGTCAGTAGGGCTACAGGTGTGTTTCTACAATCATTTAACTTTTTGTTTTTCCTTCCTTAAAGTTAACCTGAAATCACAAATCAGGTCAGTCATATCTAGTCATTGCTACTCTTTAGATGTTCTTAGTCGCCCTAAAATTCTGTGTGATGGAAGCTGGGTTCCCAGTGCAGAAGTACTGAGGCACCTGCAGCTTTAAGAAGTAGAGCAACAGACAATTAGGTCATGAGGGCTCCTCCCTCCCTGATGGGCTGAAGCTGTCTTTGATGGCTCAGGCCTCTCTGAAGTGGTTCTCTTGAAACTGAGCTGTTGCAGAGGGAAGCCATTCTATACACTGAGCCCTCTCTGAGTGTACCCATTCGCTTTCTGTTCCTCTGCCATGCTGAGACACAGCCCTGGATCACAGCCGTCGTATCACCAGGAGCCAACACCAACTTCTAGGATCTTCTGGCTACCAGAGGAGTGAGCCAAATAAACTTTTTTACTTCACAGGGTATCCAGCCTATGTGTGAGTGCCTGTCAGAACAGATGTGCGAGTGTGTGTGTACATATGTGTGTGCACATGCTACAAAGCATGTGTTGAGGTTAGAGGACAACTTGGTAGAATCCATTCTTTCCACCAGTTGGGTCCTGGAATCAAATTCAGGTCACCAGGCTTGGCAGCGAGTGCCTTCACCCACAGAACTGTCTTGCCATCTTAGCCTCAGATTGTGTTCTTCCCGTTCCATTTACCTTGTTTTTCTGTGGACCTGATGCTCCCTGCTTAGCTAGGCTGGCTGGGCAGTGAGCTCCTGGGCTTTGCCTACTTCACCTCCCACGCTGGGATTACATGTGCACCAACTACACCTGGTTTTTTGTTGTTGTTGTTGTTGCTGTTGTTTTGTTTTTGTTTCTTGATCCCCGCCCCCCTGCCCGGGTTCTACTTCTTGAATTGAACCTAGTTCCTCAAGCTTTTGTGGTAATCAGTTTCTGAATCATCCTTTTGGCTTTCATGTTATTTTTATAAAATAACATGAAACAGACTAAGACACAGTGACGGCGTGTTTTGTAGGCACCTCACTTAAGCCTAAGGAGCCATTGGTGTTTCTCCTGGTGAACTGTGAAACTACTCTGCTACCTGCTGAAGGTCAAATCAAGTGAGGTCAACCACACTTCCATTATACAGCGTTGATCCGTGAGGCTTTGGGGACATAGGAGGCTTTGCAGACAGATGCCAGTATCTGGAGGGTCTTCCCAAATTCACTGTGCATTTGCAGCCTGTCCCCCAGCACTTCTGTAGGTGGGAGAGATGCGTGGGCCCCATGTGGAGCTGAGCTGTGGGAATATCCCAGTGATGGGTTCTCAGAATCCATCTCTGCAGTGTAAAACCAGCTAGGTGCTATTCTGTAAACAAAGTGCTCCGCAGAGAGTAGGGAAAAAGCTATGGCTTGTAAGGATGTGATCTCTGGTTTTTTACCCAAGAAGTAGATTTCCCTATAGGATCCAGCAAAGATTTTTAGTGGTTTTAGTTAGTCTCAGGGTTCTAGCACATAAAACAGGTTGATTTAGGAAGAACACTCAGTCAAAGTTCAAAAGACAGTCCTCCACACCGACTTACCCGGATGTGGTTGTCTGGGAATTCACAGGAGGTCAAAGGATCCATGAGCCATGAGACTGTTTTGCGGCCAGTTTCCTCATCTCTGGGAAGCGTGTCTCTGGTTTTTTTTGTTTGTTTGTTTTCTATCTGTGAACTTTAAAATTGCAGACAAGAATTGTTGAACACAGTTGATCACTTCTCTCCTGGAGGTTGTTTACGCTGAGACTTGGTTGATTCTGCTTAGCTGAACACAGACAGACAGAAGAACACAGGTTTACATGCAGGCTGAAATAATCACACAGTGGGGGCGCTACTCCGTGTTGTTCCTTGGCCATTCTTTTCTCTGGCTCGTTGAGACAACTGGGTCTGTTCATCCGAAGACCCTGCTTTGTGTGGACCCGTGTATCCTTTAAGAAATAATTCAAGGGTTTGAGGACTTGTGGTAGCTCAGGGGTAGAGTACATGTCTAACAAGCACAGGCCCTAAGTTTGGTCCTCAGTTCTTAAAAGAAAAAAAGTAAACAATTCTGCTTACAGTGATTCTTTTCTATGTACCAGAGTCTTAGGGTCTTAGGAACTTATAATGAGTTAACAGTCAAATAACCTTTTGCCAAATTTGTATTTTGGATGAGGAAAGAGACCCGCCAGGAAGTCCTTTGCTCGAGATCCCACAGAGCCACCAATACAGGTCATTGGAGCCACAAGTTTGTACCTTTCACGTTCTGCCTTTTTGGTGTGAAAACTGATTGGAAGCCATCTTGGCCACATTTCACGTTGCCTAGAATTTGTAGCAAGCTAGTTGCAGAGCTGAGGTATGCTTGGCATCCACAGAATCTCCTATCTGCACTGCTGGCTGGCCTCTCACTGAGCCATGAGCCTGCCCATGAATCACTCCTGGCTTGAGAATCTGGCTGTAGCTGACTCTTTCTCAGCCAGGGTGCAGGTCTGGAGGGCAAGCTGTCTAACCGGCTTTTCCACTTCCATCAAACAGCACTGAAGGTTTTAGGCGTCCCTGTCTTTTTGTAACTGCTTTGACAAGGCTGTTATTCCAGAGCTGATGAAATGCTTCCCGATAAATATTCTTTTATTTAAATACTTAGGTATCTAATTAATGAAGCATGTTGGTTTTAAAAACATGCTGAATACGGTGTTGCCTACATTAAAAGTACTTTGTAATCTGTGTTGTTGAATACAGCCAGTGTAGAGCTTCTGGGAGGAGCACCATTCTGAGAACACCATAAACAGATCTCTAGGATAATCTCCCACCTCTTGACCTTCTTGATGGAAATCTATTCTGCTTTTGACCTGTGGTTTCATTGTTTCATGGGGAAATTTGCATAAGAATGTCCCTCATAGGCTCAGGTATCTGAACACTCCCTTTCCAGTGGTGGGTAGTGCTGTTCAGGGAGATGGTAGGCTTGCTGGAGAAGGGACATCACTGGGAGCTGGCTTTGAGATTTCACAGCCTTGCCGCTTT